TTATAAAACTAATTGAAAATCGTGAAACGTTAAAACGTGAAAATAATTGATGAAATTAATTTGGGAAAATATTTTGTGCCATGCACCGGATCATAATTAGGAAGTTAAAATTCCAAACTAAACGTAGCCAATATTTCAGGGTCACAGTCCGAAGGACCCCGCTCCGTGGAAATTGACCTTAACGATACGTAGACATGACCAGAAGTACCTAACTCGTAAGCTGTACGCATGCAAGTATATATACTAACGCGAGGAGTATCATTTCGTCTTGTCCCACTTGAAAACCCAACCAGTGGCGGCGATGTGTTCTATATCGGCCTGCGTCCTCCCTTTCGTAATTTTCCTCCTCGTTCCCGGTCCGAGCACGGCTCAGCAGTCACGATTTAGCAACGGGCAAAGGAGATACGCGAACCTGTACGGTTACACGAATTTCAATACGACGGGCACGGAAAACCTGATCGACGTGGTGATAGGCGGGCTGAATTTCCTCCGCGCTAACGAGCAGTTTCAGGAAAATGCTCAACCCGACGTGACCCCGAAGCATCGATCGAAATACGATTTTATAGTGATCGGCGCAGGAACTGCAGGAGCGACGATAGCGTCCAGGTTGAGCGAGATCGAGGACGTAAGCGTGCTCCTGATCGAGGCTGGACCAGAAGAGACTCTTCTCATGGACGTGCCCATACTGGCGAACTTTTTACAAGGCGTGGAATCGATCGACTGGATGTACGAGACGGAGCCGTCCGAGAAATACTGCCGGGGGATGAAGGGTCACAAATGCAAATGGCCCAGAGGCAAAGTGATGGGCGGTAGCAGCGCCCTGAATTACATGATAGCCACCAGAGGAAACTGGCGGGACTACGACCGTTGGGCCGAGCTCGGTAACGACGGATGGGCGTTCAAAGACGTAATGGATTATTTCAAAAAATTAGAGAACGTAGAAATTCCCGAACTGAGGAAGGACGAGAAGCACCGCGGGACGAACGGCCCGGTCTCGGTGGATAACCCGCCGTTTCGATCGCCGATGGTGGACGCGTTCCTCGAAGGCGGTAAAGAACTGGGTTATCCGTTAGTCGATTATAACGGAGAGAAGCAAATCGGATTTTCGTATATACAGTCGACCATGCACCGAGGGTATCGCATGACCAGCAACCGGGCTTACCTCGTTGGTAAAAAACGGAGGAACCTCCACGTGACCAAGATGAGTATGGTGCACAGGATATTGTTCGACAAACAGACCAAACGAGCGATCGGAGTACTGTTCGTGAAGAACAACCGAATGTACAAAATCTACGCGGACAAGGAAGTGATCCTGAGCGCGGGTGCAATCGGATCGCCGCAGTTACTGATGCTGTCCGGAATAGGACCCGCGGAGCACTTGAGAGAACTCGGCATTGACGTGATAAGAGATGCGAGGGTGGGCGACAACTTGATGGATCATATAGCTTATGGTGGACTGACGTTCCTACTCGATCAACCGATGTCTATAACTACTTTTGATCTGCTGAACGTTCTCAAGCCATATTTACGAGATTTCCTGATGGACCGGAAAGGTCCGGCGACCACCAGTGGCGGTTGCGAGGGAATCGCTTTCGTCGACGTCGACGATCCGAAAAATAGAGACGGATCTCCGAACATGGAATTACTGACTCTGGCCAATTCGATCCACGGGATCGGTATGTTGTACGATAATTTCGGACTCGACCAGGAGATCAGGGATAAATTTTCCTGGATACAGAACGTATACTCGTGGGGAGTGTTTCCTATGATACTGCGTCCAAAGAGTCGCGGTTGGTTAAGACTGAGATCGAAAGACGTAAACGTGCATCCGAAGATAGTCGCTAATTACTTGAGTCACCCGGACGACGTTAGGGTTTTGGTGAAAGGCATCAGAATGGCTATTCAAGTTGCTAATACGGAAGCTATGAGGAAAATGGGTTTACGGTTTTATAATAGGACTGTGTCCGAGTGCGAGAAGTATCCGTTCGATTCGGATAGTTATTGGGAGTGCAATTTGAGGACGGAGACATTGACTATTTACCATTATAGTGGCACTTGTAAAATGGGACCGGAGAGCGACAGTACTGCCGTAGTCGATCCGACTTTGAAGGTACAATTCTATTTTAAATAAAGTAATTCCTTGAGGCATACGATTTTAAAGAAAAAATAACCCAAGTTGCACAAAATTATTAAGTAATTATTATTAAGTAACTTTAAATTTTCGAGGTGGGTTGAAATCCCACCATGTATAAAAAGTTGGGACAGGTTTTAATCCATCCAAACTGGAATTAAAATTCTCCTATCGACGAAGCATGTGACAAGTTTTCTAAATTGATTGAGTAGAGACGATTTCGTAAGGAGGAATTTAAAAATACAATAAATATTGAAACATGCAAATTTCGTGAAATTGTGTTGAGATTTGCCGATCGCCGAATCGAAATGTAATTTGAATATTTCAGGTAATCGGCATCAAGGGACTGAGAGTGGCTGATGCTTCTATAATGCCGGAAATTATTTCTGCCCATCCGAATATTCCGATATTCATGATCGCGGAGAAATTGTCAGACATGGTTAAAAGAGAGTGGGGATACCTAAACGACTGAGTATCGCAATTTAAAATCCTATTAGAAGCAATGAATTTAATTATACTTAACTAATTAATTAGGCAATTCTAATTTTATATTAGAATATGATTAAT